TTAAGATCCCAGTCGCTACTCGCCAAAGTAGGAGGTGGAACAATGTTTTGTATAGTATGTTATGCCAATTGAGCTTGATGTCCCCTGAGACTATGGTCCCAAGCCCTCAGGTTCAATTACTCGGTCCCTCTGGGTAGCTGGCTGTGACCAAGCCGTGACCACAACCTTGCCCCTTGTCAGCTCTACCATACACCTGGGAATTCTGATCATTCACATAAACTTATAGGACCATTACCAGCCCATTTTTATGGTAAAAACTCAAAATTAAAACTACCAAAATAATGTTTTATTAAGAAAAAGGTATCACAAAAAAAAAAAAAAAAAAAGGAATCATATTTTTCCATCTTTCTTACCAGAGATATCCTTGAAGAAGATCTTCTTCTAATTGGGTTCACTGTGACGGTCTGAGTTTGCCTATGAAATAAGACATGTCTTTGAGGAGAGCCTGTCATATAACTATACAATCTTCTTAATCTTACCAAAATAAATTAAGGTTTAAAAAGATAAAATCTTTCTAAAGCAAAAACACAAAAACAATTACCAATTAAACAAAACAAAGGAGATTATCTATCCTCACATGGGGCCTTGGCCCATTCCTATAGCCCTGACCCCTCAGATCACATTCTGGGTTTTCAACATCTTCCTGGAGCATCAGCGGCCTGCACCACCAGAAGGGTCGCCAGGAGTGTCCTTCTTATCCAGGTAAAAAAACGGGGGAGGCCATTATCCACTCCTGGTACCCACTGCCATCAAGTCAATTCTGATTCAGAGCACCTGTATGGGACAGAGTAGAATTGCCCTAAAGGGTTTCCAAGCTGTAAATCTTTTTGAAAGTAGATTGCCACATCTTTTTCCCATGGAGCATCTCGTGGGTTCAAACCGCCAACCTTTTGGTTAGCAGCCAAGGACTTTAACCATTGAGGGGTAGCCATTATAAGAGAAGAACACATGGCTAGATCACCCACAAACTCATTCCAGGGAAAGCAGAATTCAGTGCACATACACCTCTCCTGTAGCCTTAGTTGGCTCCGAACATCTCCATTAATTGTCCTGAGGAGTGACCGTCAACTATCAGCACAGAAGCCTGAAGCAACAGAAACTGCCTTTAATCAAAAGTCTGTTACAGACTACAAATATGATGAAGAGATAACTTTATAATCTGAGTAATTTTAGAACCTATAATTCCCCTAAGGAACTAATTTAGGGAAAGCGACAAAGTAGAAAATTTGGTTGAGTGGGCCTGTGGTAAAACTACTCTGCATTTCCTTGTAAGAATTTCTCTCTGATTGGCTTTAAATGTGTGTTTTATAAAGCCATGTATGAAAGGAGACTTCTGTTTCCAGTCAAGATAGAGTAACACAGACCAGATTTACCCTCCCACCCTAAATAACTATAAAAACTAGGGAAACAATAACAACAGTTTCCAGACACTGGAAATTAAGCAGCACAGAACAGTGACACCTGAAAAAGGGGACACACGGGACATGAGCCCTACAATTGCCCATGTTTACTGCCTGAAGAGAGTTTCCAGCCTGAAGCAAAGGAAGAGAAACCCAGTCATTCAAAAAATGTTTCTTGGATCCTGTGTAAAAAAACCTTACAAAACAAGCTTCCAAATGTTTGAACTGTTTCCAAATAATTCAACAACAATCTAGAACAAAGTAAAATTATTAAAGGAATGTAAGAATACCTGATGAAGAACAAGGTAGAATGCACAGTGTCTAGAAACCAGTAAAACATAACCAGGTACACAAAGCAACAGGAAAACACAACCTGACTGAGAAAACTCAGTCAAGATCAATCAAGAAATGGCACAGGTAATAGAAGTAGCAGACAAGGACATTGAAACACTCATTATAACTATGTTCAATAAAATAAATAAATAAGTTGAGGAGAGACAAGAATGATATAAAAAGACCCAAAACAAACTTGTAGAGATGAAAAGTATGATTTCTGGTATGAAATACCAGAAATGATGGTATAAAATACCAGAAATGATGGAATGAAAAGACTAGACAGTGCAGAAGAAAATATCAGTGAAAGTGAAGACAAAGTGATAGGAACTATCCAAAATGAAGTGCAGAGAAAAAAATTACAGAAAAATGAACAGGCTGTTAAGTGAGCTGCAGAACAACTTCAAGTTCCCTTATACAAATGTAACTGAAGTTCCAGAAAAGGACAAGGAAGGAGGAAAAATAAAAAACATTTGAATAAATAACAATCAAAAAATTCCTAAATCTGATGTAAACTATATGCCAACCAATGCATCCTAAGCAAAGAAATACAAAGAAAATACTATCAAGGTACATCAAATTGCTTATAACTTACAATAAAGAGAAAATTATAATAGTGGCAGAAAAAATAGAGGGGAAAAGAAAAACATAACATACTGAGAAACAAAGAATGACAGGAGACTTTTCATTAATGTTGTTGTTGTTGTTATTTGCCATCGAGTCGGCCCCGACTCATAACGACCCCTCCTTGGGTTTCCGAGGCAGTATCACTACGGAAATAGGATTACCCAACCTTCCTTCCGAGGAGTGGCTGGTGGGTTTGAACCACCAGCCTTCTGGTTAGCAGTCAAGTGCCTTAGGCACTATGCTACCAGAGCTTTTCATTAATAAGTGACATCTTTCAAGTACAGAAAGAAAACAACGGACAATCTACAATTCAAATACTAAGGCAAAATGAAGATTTTTTTCAGACATACAAAACTTCAACACTTAAAGGCCTATACTACAAAAAGTAGTAAAGGAAACCTTTTAAGTAGAAGGAAAACGATACCAGTTGTGTGGGTCCACACAAAGGATGAAGAGTACTGGAGATGGTAAACACATGAGTTATTTTTTTTTCATTTACACAATCATTTAAAAATATAATCTAACCCTATAATATGGTGACAAAGTGGTTAAGCGCTCACCTGCTAACCAAATGGTAAGCATTCAAACCTACCAGCTGCTCTGTGGAAAAAGAAGTGGCAGTCTGCTTCTATATAGATGCACATAATAACAACAACATTGTATGCATAGTAGCATGAAGAACTGATGCATTTAAGTTATGGTGTTGATGAACACTGAATACACCACAGACTGCCAGAAGAATGAACAAATCTGTCTTAGAATAAGTACAGCCAGAATGCTCCTTAGAAGCAAGGGTGGCAAGACTTTGTCTTATGTACTGTGGATATGTTATCAGGAGGGACCAGTCCCTGAAGGACGACATCATGCTTGGAAAAGCAGTGGGTGAGCGAAAAAGAGGAAGAACTTCAATGAGATGGACTGACACAGTGGCTGCCACAATGGGATCAAGAACAGCAATGATTCTGAGGATGGTTCAGGACCAGGCAGTGTTTTGCTCTGTTATACACAGGGTGGCTATGACTCAAAAGCAACTTAACGGTACCTTACAAAAACAAGAGTATAATATTGCCTGAAGGTGTTGTTGTTGTTGTATTGCTTGAAGGTAGATTATGATAAATTAAATATGTACACAATAAGACCCAAAAGTTTCTTTTGAAGAGGTATAGATTATAGGGTTGGCAGACAATGTTTCTACAATCATACTTGTATGTTCTGTAAGAATAACCAGGTATATAGTAGAGCTGACAAGGGACAAGATTATAGTGACTACTTGGACACAGCCAGCTACCCAGAGGGAGCAAGTAGTTGGACCTATGGGCTTGGAACCATGGTCCCAGAAGACATCAAGCTCAACTGGCATAACATACTACACAGACACATTGTTCCACATCCTACTTTGGTGATCTTAAAAGCTTGTAAGTGGCCATCTAGATGCAACGATGGGTCTCTCCTTGTCCAAAGCAAAGAAGAATGAAGAAAACCAGAGACGCATGGATATAATTAGTCCAAAGGACTGGTAGAACATGCAATCCTCAGTGTATATGATCATGAGACCAGAAGAACTAGGTGGTGACTGGCTACAGCTGTCAACCACTGGCTACAACTGTCAGAAAGGGATCTGTGTAGGAGATCCTGGACAGAGTGGGAGAACAATGTGGAACAAAACTCAAAACTATTTAAAAAAAAAAAAAAAAAAAAGACCAAGTTTGCTGGTCTGATAGGGCCTGGTGAAACCCCTGAGACTATGTCCCCTAGCTGCCCTTCAGGTCTGGAATTGAACTCACTCCTATGACTTCCAGCCAAATTCAGCATATGGGCTGAATATTTAATCAGGTACATACACTCCTTGGAGAGATCAATCTCGGGAGAAGAGAAGGGCTGTGTATGCACAGGGAGAATGCTGGGGCAGGAGTGCACGGGAGGGAAGGACACAGGGAAGAGGTAACTACGGGGGTGGGGGGAGTGGAAGAGAGCTGTTACACTGTGGGAAATTGCAGTCAATGTCATGAGACAAAATGTGTATGAACTGCTATATGGAAAATGAAATTGGTCTGTAAACTTTCACCTAAATCACAATTAAAAAAAAAAAAAAAAAAGAGGTATAGACAGATCAGGAAAAATGGGAGAAGACACAAATTACCAATAACAAGAATGAGAAAGGGGACATCACTACACATCCTAAGGAGCCCTGGTAGCCCAGTGGTTAAGTGCTTGGTTGCAAACCAAAAGGTCAGCAGTTCAAACCCACTAGCTACTTGTGAATTTAGTCAGAGAGAAAAGTCTAGGCAATCTGCTCTCGCGGAGACTACAGCCTAGGAAACCCTATTGGGCAGTTTTACTCTATCCCACAGGGTCACTATCAATGGAATTGCCTCAATGGCACACAACAACTACAGACTCTATATACATGCAGTGTAGTAAATTACTTTGTGTGGCTTTTCTACCCATAAGTCTTTGTAAACTCCAAGGTGGGATTTGCTATGAGCAACTGAGGAGCTCCTGATTGCTGAAGGTGTCCACCTGGAGTATTTCTGTTGGGAGTGGCACAAAACAATGTTCTGGGAGGTGCCCACTTTCTCTTAGGTGCTT